ATATCCAGTACGGAATTACAGCTTGGGGAGGCGCTTATAATAACCATATCAAACATCTTGAAATTATGCAAAAAAAATTTATTAAAATAATCTATAATCGAAACTATGATTATCCAACAACCTCTCTCTTTATAGAGAGTAAATTACTTGACATTAGACAAATTTATTTACAAAAAGTAGTTACTTACCAACACAAAAAAAGACGCGAACTATTAGATATTCAACACGAACACAACACCCGGCATAAATTAAGAATGAAAACAAAAACAATAAAAGTTTACAAATCAGCAACCCAAAAAAGTTTGTTATATATAGCGCCTCACATATATCGCTTTGTGCCTGAAAAAATTAAAGAAATAAAAAATTCCAAAAGATTTGGTAAAAATGTTAAGTTTTGGTTAAAAAACTATCAGCGAAAAAAGTTTAAATATTTATTTGAATGAAAATTAATCCTGTCATCAATATTTTTGTTCACACACTTTTTTCTAATTACTTAAATAATTAATTTGATTTATTTGTATGTACATATATAGGTAAGCTTTAAAAGATACATATATTAGGAATATAATCTATTAAATTGTAATAATTAACTTTTCTTTTAAAAGAGAAGGAAAATATAGTTTTTCCCACGTACTAGTCGTAAGACTTCAGTGGAGATATTTATTTTCCATCTTCATTTGGAAAAGATATGTATAAAAAAAAATTGTATGTAAATTGTAGAATTTGGGAAATAAAATTATTATTATTATTATTATTATTATTACTTTAAATTTTTAATATTGTATTTTGTTTTGACAAGTAGCCACGTTTATTTTGAGTAAAACTAGGAGGGGCACGATAGGTCAGGACATATAGATAATAAACTGTAAAATTGTAAAAACTGAAACTTCTCAAACTTAATTATTATCACTTTAAAGATTTATTTAAATGGTTCTTTGAATGCTTAAATAAAATAACATAACCTATTTTAGTTTCCAGGCAAATAAAAAAAGGGGAGAGACATGTATAGATATTGTCATTGAAAATTATCAAGTATACAGTGTTTTAAATAAAAGAAATGGGCCACTTTTTAGAACAAAACTTTGTTACATATAATTGTTCTATTTTAATTAAATTAATTACTTATACTTACATTAATTTCATAATCAGAATTTTTTGAACCACTGTATAAATAGCTAAAACTGTAATAGTCTACAGAAATTTTAAATTCGTGGACAGTATTGGCTTCGATAAAAATAAAAAATGACGTAGACGATTTTTTTTCGATCGTCTATCCCTGTTAAATTTAACATATTTAAAAAAAAATACAATTAGATTATTTCTCAATTCAGAAAATTTTTTTTCGCATTTTCTTAACTACAGCTGGGCAATTATCAAAATATACAATCGATTATCGATTGTTAAAAATAATCGATTATTTTCGAGTAGGTAATCGAAACAACCGATTATTTAAAATACTCGATTAATTATCGATTAATTATTGATTAATTGAAAATAATCGATTAACCGATTATAGATTTAAAAAAATCACCAAATCGATTATTTTGCTCAACCCTATCTGGAATAAAGAGATTGATAATTCAGGATTGTTACCACGAACGAACCTATTAACTACACTTAGTACAGACCCAAATTAAAAAAGGTTATTAAAATATATGATTCTTTAATATTTTACAGCATAATGTTTTATTTTAAAAACAAGGAGTGTGATTGGGTGTTTTGTTTATAAAGAATTGAAAAATAAAACTTAAATTTTAACGTGATTTTGAAAGAAAGTTGTTGCTCACAACTTTTTTTTTATTAGATTGAAAATTATTTATATTATTTATATATTTATAATCGAAGAAAATATTCAATTAATTAAAATAATCGATTAATAAAAAATCATCGATTAATCGAATGATTTACAAAAAAATTGAGATATCGATTAATTGAATAATCGATTATTTTACTCACACCTATTCTTAACCCATCATTTTTTGGCTAATTTGAATATCTCAAAATCAGAAAAGACAATTCAAGATGCTATATAATCATCTGCTGATGTTTTTTTCTGTTTCTATTTGAATATTAAAAAAAACAAATATGCTAAAAAATCAAAACTTTACAAAATCATTCAAATTTGGTAATTGGGTAGAAAATCGAAAAAAAACTCTTTCATTTAACGTTTTTCAAAATTTTAAAAAATAACCTTAAAATTTTTGTAATGCCAAATTTGACAGCTATCGTCGATTGATAGGGATAAATCGTCAACGAGACTTTTTATTATTTTCGAAGCACAAATTGTTTATAAACTCTAAATTTGGCTAAAACTACAAAAATAATAAAAACAAATTCGTATATGATGTGGCCTTTAACGATGACACTGTATGTATATAAATTGAACCTAATCATTTAATATTTGTCAAAATTTATAATTTACAAATAAATACAATGATGTATCAATCTTTTATTCCTATGAATTCAAAAATCTATCACCTCTTATTTATTTATTATTTATTTATCCTGAGTACGTCCGTCAAATCGACCAATGCCGACTGAAAATAATTGGCAGCCTCCGCGCAGCTCTTTGTAGGTGTGCTCTATCTCCGATTTATTTAGTCTAGGGTCTCATTATTGCAATCGTGCCATGGATAAATTAATATTAAAAGATAAACCTTTCAAATGCACGGCACTGGTAACAAGTGGTTAGTTCCGGCCATACTATTTGGAGCCACCATCGCAAATAAGATGGCAGCGATGTTGCCAGTTTCCATAAACTTTCATGATATTAGAGTTAATTCAAACGCATAAGCTGCACCTTATTTTGTCGTGCTCGATACCATCCATACAATGGCTGGGATATTTTAAAGAGAGGTTTGACAAATGTGTTGATAACCTTGTTAAAAATGAAAAACGGAATGGAGGAAAGCCAAATGGTCGAAAAACGAACAAAAAACATCATAAAATAAAAGTTATTATGATGTAGGATGTAGTGGATATAATTATCCTTCCTCCATGGGATATAGTTCCATAGAGGTAAGTTATTTTTAGGTTAAGAAGATTGATAAGTGCTGATTTAATGTAATTAGTAAGTATTAACAATTTAATTTAATAAGGTGTTAGATTTGTTTAAGGACTTTGTTTATCAGCCTTAACGAAGTAATATTTCATTTTGGATCGATTATCAATTCTTTTTTAATACACCTATTTGTAATAAAACATGTCTGGCCCGGGTAAAATTAAGTATTCTTGTTCAGCCCCTTAATTAGTTAAATAAAACCTTTTTAATTTTCCTTCCGATATTAAAATTCGCGAGAACTGGTTTAAGAATTTTAATTTATCTTTAGATAATAAAATTCGCCATCTTTGTGAAGATTATTTTTTGCCAGATTCTTTTAGTAAAATTCCTTCAAAATGTAAACGACTAATTCAAATTCTGGACCAATTTTATTAGATAATAGTACATCCAGTGCAACCATACCCAAACTATACTTAACCTGAGAGTCAGATTTTAGAAAATGTTAAGGCTGAAGCACATACACAGTAGTATAAGATAGATTTGCTAATCTGCAACGAAAAACAAGAAATTATTTGCAAACGTAAACTTACTATTAGTGATAAACAAAAATTAAAAGTAATTTTCAAGCTCAAATTTATTAGATCAACTAGAACAGATTAGTTAAAATATAATTTAAATCAACTATTGCACTATGAGAAATAAACTGAAAGTTTTTTCTATGAACTAATTTTAGACAAATTAAAAATAACTTTTACTTTTATAAGAATGGGCAACATTTTGATAAGAGAAATTGTTCAATAAGATGTAAGTATGTACACTTTTTTGTTTTCATAGGAAACCCCTGACAACTTCATCAAAATTTGGCCCACTTTTCCAAGAATGAGAGGAGAATACTATTAATTTCACTTACAGTTATTGTTATTTACACATGTTATGTATGTAATAAATGTTTAAATGCACCTTACTTTTATTAAATGATTAAACTATACCTACCTGTTGTTTCAAATATTTTAATATATTTTTAATTTATATTTTTTGGAGTTTTATTACTTAAAAAACTAATATTTATGTTAAATACAGTATTTTAATGTAAATATTAGTTTTATAAAAAAATGAATGCCAAAAAATGTAAATAAATAATAAAGGACATTTGAATGAGCCGCGTTTATGCTTGACACTTTTCTTTTTAATTTTCTTCTTTTACGCTGTCTCTAACTGTCAAGTTAATCAACCAATTGATTAGCGTGCGATGGTGGCGCCAAATAGTATGGCCGGAACTAACCACTTGTTACCAGTGCCGTGCATTTAAACGGTTTATCTTATACTAATATTAATTTATCTATGATTCGTGCCGACGAACACAGTTTCTTACCCTCACTTATTAAGTATTTTCTCCACGTTTCCGACTACGTAAAAAATGCATGTCTGGTCGTATGTGCGTGTGTATCAATGTGCGCTAACACGATAACTCTAGAACGAAAGCTTCGATCGAATTGTGGTTTTGACTTTACTTTATAATTTCTTCAAGCCGGGAATTTTCGGTTTAACTTTAGTGCTTTAAATCTCTGCCCCTGACTGGGACACATTTTTACAGTCTAGGTTTCTCAATTTTTCTTTGGTTTTCACCAGAGGGTTTGAAGATGGATTCCTTAAATTCGTAGAGGGAATTAGGGTGTTATTTTTCAGATTTCCACAAATTGTTACGTAAAAAATATTTCTAATTGTTAGGTAAAGTAATGTTAAATAAGTAATGCGTTAAGAACATTTAAAAATAGTACTTTTTTCAGATATAAAATCGGTATCTTTATCTTCGATCATTCGTATACACATTTTTTCTTATCATCTAGAGTTTATTTAGCTTTTTAAAAATTCATCGTATTTTTTTAAATACAATACCAAGATAAAGCCAAAGAAATTACGTTTCTAATTTAAGGAATAACATAATTATGGACAAAATAACAGTCGCAAAACGATCATAAATATCAGAAAAAATACTTACATAATGTAACCGTATAATCCCAACTCTCCGAGTCATTCTTATGTACGTTTAATTTTTCTGGCTGTAACAAAAATATTCTCATTAATTCAAAACGAAAATCAATAAAGAACAAGTTAGCATGAATAATATATATTTTAAAAGGTATCAAAACAAGAAAATAAACGATAAAGTCCTAAAAGAATGATTTACTGTGAACAAATTGTTTGCTTTCTTTATATATTAGAAACCGACTAGGCCAGTAATCAGGTGAAAAATATTAATTTTTTTTAAATTTGTATGAATCGAAATTAGCCGATTTTGCAACCTGATACAGGGTCAGCAATATTGTCAAATTAATGAATTGCTGGATGGTCAAAAATTTAACATAGTTGCAAATTTGATATAATTTTCATTTTAATATCTAAGATATATAGCTGAATTTGCAGCCAGATTTAGCCAATAGCTATTTATACAACCAGTTACGAAATGCCTTATTTTATGTAACGAGTAATATAAAACGGCATTTTGTAACGTGTTACAATATATTTTTTTAAAATTTGACTAGATTATTTATAAAATTGTGTTTTGGAAAAAAATACTGACATCTAGGCAACTAATATTACTTTCTTGCAAAATCACAGTATACTGGATAATATCGCTTTAAATGTCTGTGAAAATTTTCAATTCTTTCCGATGGTAGCATGATGCAATTTTTATAATTTACTATGATTGTCTTTTTTATATTTATTTAAAAATGATTCGGCAAAATTGTAACATGTGCAAATATTGATTGCTAATGACCGTATTCATAAGTTAGGCATGCTTTTCATTTGCAACAGTCCATGACGTTGGCAAACAGACGAAACTAGCAATAATAAAAATGTTCAAAATATTAATTAATTTATTAATGCGAGTTTCAAAATCGGCTAATTCAATTTCGGTAGGTACTTAATCTTACCACGAATTTAAAAAAATGTTAGTATTAATGTTAAATTTTTTACCTGCTTACTGGCCTATATATCAATGAAATATCAATAAATTATTCAGTTTCTTTAAACAGTTGATTTTTCTAGGTAATTCCTAAAAAAACACTTAGAAAGAAAAAAGAAATAAGTAGGATATTAAAACACATTTTACACAAACAAAAACAAAAGAACCATAATTGAAATTGGAATTAATACCCGTTGTAACCTCTTTTCTTTCGGGTCACATAAATCTGTTTGTTATGCTACACGGGCCACAATATTTTTGGGTGATAACTTGATAACTAGAGTTGCCACCTTTTTGAAATGCAAATAAAGGACAATATGTGACGATATAGTCCAGGATTCGTAAGTAAGGTCGACCTTCACCCATCTGTTTACCGGATGAAAGTTTTTTTTAATTAAATAAAATATGTTTTTAAATATACCGCAAATGGGTTGCCTAAGAAAATACGGTCACGGCCATTTTTTACTTTCCTCTCTGTGTAAAGATAAGGAAAGTATATGAATCATGATAAAAGTTGTTTATGATGTCATTGTCTATTATTTTGTCTCTATACATGATTTTCCTAAAATGGACCAATTTGAGATATTTGATGAAAAGTGCAAATTTCGAATTTTGAAGATAACTTAAAAACGGATGAAGAGAAAGACACCAAATTTTGAACTTAAGCTTTAATCTATCCTGCGATGAGCACAGTTAAAGCATTTGGGGAATGCTTTACAGGGTGTCGTTTTTTTTTACTTTAAGAAAATAAATAGTCTGGACCGAATTTTCTTAGGCAAGCCATTTGCGATATATTTAAAAACATATTTTATTTAATAAAAAAAAAACTTTCATCCGGTAAACAGATGGGTGAAGGTCGACCTTATTTCGGATCTTAGACTAATAGGGATCCGCTTTAAATATTTTCTAAAAAAAGTCCTCATGTTGTTTTAATAAGCTTTAAAAAGTCGATAGGACTGTAGGTCAACCATTTCAATTACTAATAATCGTGTTTGGGGCTGCACAAAAAAGCTTGTAATACATCAAAAAAAGCTTGAAGAGCCGCACAAAACACCTTGCACGGCCGCAGGATGAGTATGGCTGATCTACAAGGTAGTTCATGTAAAGTTCCAAAAGATTTGTTACCAGTGGTAGATTCTTTAAAAAAATTTATTCCAAAGGTACATATATATTTTTTTTTAATTACAATTTTGTGAAATAGACTCCGATTTAAAATATTAAACCATTTGGCCTTTATTAATGTGAGTGAAATTCTGTACAAAAAATTAAATTTTATATTTAAGCCGAAGTCAAGCATTTGAAGTTTTTATAACCTATTTGAATTTGTCAATAAAAGACAAGGACCATTATACAAAAAAATATGCATTACTTAGAACAAATATATAATGAAAAACCGATTTTTTGACACTTAACACAATTATTTAATTCAAGCCTTCAAGTGTACAAAAAAATAAAAATTAAGGGCTGGTGGAAAGTTAACTGGAAGGGGCTGAGGTCCTGTACGCACTGCGACCTCTATTTCTAAAGGAGAATGATTTTTATTTTGTTGCAGAAAACCTACGTCGTACCCAAGTACTGATTTGTAATTATTATGATCGTCGTTACCACTACCAGAATAGATCGTCAGATAGTGACAGGTTTAGGTGCACCATTTTGGCATACAAGTCTCGAAGAGGGTTGAAAAGTACGTCGATTTTAAGTAGAATGAAATTTACGAGTGGCTCTTGGGGATAACACATGGAAAATTCGATTTTCCCCAACAAAAATGAAAGGTTATTTGTTGCCAATATTTCCACGCAAGCCGTTTTCACTATATGATTAATTAATAGAACTAGGCTTCGGAAAATCAAAGGCTTTAATGTTGCAAGTGACTAAAGGGTTGAAATAAGGGCGTAATCTTCTAAGGAAAAATCGAGATTTTACAAGACCCATCAAATAAACATTTGTGTTTTCACTCGTCACAACGTCCCTAAAATTGATAAATTGCGTCTAAATGGGTATTATTTTCCATTGTGTCTCTCTATTAAATACTTAGGCATGTTTCTTGATCTAAAATTAACTTTGAAATTACATTTTGTGTTTATGTTAGATAGATTTAATAAGGATTTATATTTTATTTAAAAACATTTATTTATGTTATCTGTACGAAAGGAATATGTTTTTTTCTATGTAATATTATAATAATGTGCTTAGTTAGCAAAGTAACTACTAAAAAACATTTATCACAAAGTGGAAACTATGCTTCACAAGCAAGTTTTGAAAATATCGATCTTGATACCCCAGTCTCCCATTTACAAAATTAAAGCTCAACGGGTTTGAACTCGTATATCATGATTACTACCCGCATATAATGACAAACTTTGAGCAAAAGAGCAACGAATAGGATACAGTATATCCATGAATTGTTTTGTTTCACTATATTAAATTATGTAGTAGGGCGTTATTGTTTAGTTTTAGAGTTGTTCCTTCGAAATGATATAGCTAGCCTGTAGGTATTAGGTCCAGCCAGGGTCGGCTTTTAATGGCGATAACTGAAAATAAAAAGTTTTAGATTGTAGGTAGCTTTCAGTGTTTAAAAGATGATCCAATATACCGGGTATGACTTAACTGAAATTAATTGTAGCTAAATTATTTATTGTTTCGGCCTTTACTTGATGAAAATCCATTTTATCTTGAGTACAACTTCTTTTTCAAATGTGACTAATTTACAATTCGGTGTCCAATATATATGCAAAGTAATTTAACAAAACAAAGTAATTAAGAAAATACATCAATAACATAACAAAATAAACTGACTATTTAAAGTAAATAAGGGTACTTAAATAATTATGATATCAATCAGATAACAATAAGATAGTAACATTACCGGGATTATCTCACAGAAAATTAGGAAAGAGATTTAATAAGAGTGAGTTATTAATATCTAATTGATCATTTAGTAGGTTATCTGAATTTTTAAATCTATTTATTTCAAGTGTTTCTAAATGGTTTAGTTTAATGCTCTTATTTTCTATATGTAAAATTTCAAAGTTGTCTGTAAAAAAATGATTTTCAGCTAGCTGAAAATCAATTTTTTCAAGAATTGTAGCTAATGTAGTTAAAATTAAATTTGCTAACCCAAATTTTCTTTCTGCGTTACACTTTTAAAATTTTTTAATTGTTTTTGTACCATACTACTTGAAATTAAGCCTGTCAAATAAGCACTAAAAGTTGTATAGCTGAGAATAAGTTATTTAATAAAGAGACACCTTAATAGTCTGGCCTCTAGTCATTATTCACATAACCCATTAGACTCTAGCGAATTTAGAGATTAGAGTTCCTTGCTTTAATAACTCAACTTTATTACTTACTTATGCAAATTAAATTGTGAATGAGGTTATTATATAAGTAAAACAGGACATTTACTATGGAAAATCAAAAATATATAAATTCTGCGATAGGTGGATGACGTTCTAAATATTACTTAGAGCATTATAACACTAAATAAATTTATTAATCGATAAAAACCCTAAGGGACAAACTAAATAAAGTAGATAAAAAGTAAAATCAATAAAAATAGAGAGACCGAGAAAGAAACGAAAAGATAAAAGGAGAATGTAAGAGAAAATATTACAAACTGAAGCAGAAAACTATAATGAAACAAATACGAGTACAGGGTAGTGAAACTAAAATGCATCCTCTATAGCCCTGTGATTCCGGTTTCAATAGACATCGAATTACTGACTTATTATTGCATTCGTGTCGGCGAGAAATTTTTCCTTCCCCTTATTTTTCTCCACATTTCAACCTCGTATATGTAGGTGCACTGAGAAAATACATCTGGAAAGAGAGCTCCGATTGACTTTACTTGATATTTTTTTCCAGCCTAGAACCTTACTGATTTTCAGAAATTTCGGTTTAACTTTAGTGCTTTCATTTATTATAGAGGTAGTTTTGTGCATTGCGGTACAAGTAGTGATTTCATTAGATAGCCATACTTGTCAACTGTGAAACCACATACATTTTGTTTTTATATTGCTGTCATTCTTAACACCTTAACTGCTGGACAGGGGCTGTTTGGCACCGTTAAAATACTTCATATATGGCGATAACAT